AACAAGCAACGTCTTGCGGACGCGGTGATAGCCATGGTCGTTGATCGAAGGTCTCTTGAAGTGTCGCTACTGGGAACAATGACCATGCCGGTCACATGTCGAGACCGAGACCGGCTCTTGTTGTAGGCTTGATCCTTGACTGCGAGTATTATGCGACAAATTTTTCGTGACATGACACGGCGAAGAACGAGTTGCATTGTGAGTTTTGGCCGATGCGGCGCGCTGGCGATGACATCATCACCATCCTTAGGTGCGTACCAGCCTGGCGGCCTCTCCTGGCAACCATGATCCAACACCGCCTTTACATACGCGCCTTCATCTCCTCAACTTTGGATACTTCATCCTTCAGACTCAGTCACTTTACCGCGACCCTTCACGGCGTCGACTTGCAACCCCAGCAGCGATCATGCAGTTGGTGTTTCGTCTCGCCCCACCGGAACGTTTCAACGTGCCGCGCGCAAAGCACATGAGCATGAGCGCGCATTTGTCCATGACTCCATCCGCATACGGCGTGAAGGTCGACTCAAGGTTTTATCCTGTGGCTATTTAGCCGTCTTGTCATTCTCCGACGAACATGTTCATGTCCATTCGAGCCGGTGTTGATACCCTCGACCCTGGGTTGGCAGACCCGCATTGTATCTTAAGCTGCAGATTCTTGAGATTGCAGAGGAAGCCATCATTAGATTCCGCAGCCATACTATCGCACCATCATTTCCGATGCAAGGCAGGTGCCAAAGCAAGTGCGATCAAGAAGCTGTTGCGGTTCATCCTCTGCAAGCTCTGCTCCAGCCATCGCAATAAGCAGTTGCAATGCGTTGACAGCCACACCAATGTGCAGTCTGCTGCGCGGGACAGTAACGCCAACACTTTACAGAGGATGCCCCAGAGCCCCTGCAATGTGAAGGATTCTCGCCTCATCCAATGTCAAAACAGCACTAAGCTCTACTCGGCTCGAACTCCAGGCACAGTGTGTCTCCACCAATCAGCGCTCCACATGTCAAACCTGTCAGTCGTCGTTTGACCCATGGACCTGGTTCTGGTTCCCAAGAGTTCTGTTCTTGGCTTAGGTATCCATCCTTCGTTCATCTATCCGAGCGTGGCTGCAGACACATAGCGCCCCGGCGTCAGGTTCGAGATTGGACCGGTGGTAAACGAAACGGCTAGCTATGCAGCGTGCCACATATTGCTCGGCTTCACGGCTGGACTCATCTCCTGCCCTGGAGGATATAAGTCCTCGAGCTCGCCAGACTTTGAACAGTAACGCAGCTGCGCTGGACATTCTTTCACTACAGGACTTCGTCATTCATTCGTTCTTTTGCCTTTTCAGTCACTCTTTTGTCAACTTTTGACTCGTCACTCATTCCAAGCATCACTACTCGCATCAATATATACACTATGAAGTCCGTAGCTGTCCTCCCCGCCATCATGGCGCTAGCCAACGCCCACGCCACTTTCCAACAACTCTGGAAGAACGGAAAGGATCTTGAGAGCACCTGTGCCAGGCTGCCACCTTCCAACAGCCCCGTTGAGGACTACACAAGCACTGCGCTGCAATGTTAGTACCCCTCGAGTTCCCACTTTGGATATGTGCTGACATCAATCTAGGCAACGTTAGCCCTGCTCCAGCGGAGGGAAAGTGCGACTTTGAGGCTGGTGACACAGTCACTATCGAGATGCACCAGCACAACACCCGTGACTGCAAGGAGGAGGGTCTTGGTGGTGCTCACTGGGGTCCCGTCCTCGCATACATGTCCAAGGTTGAGGATGCTGCCACTGCCGATGGTTCCAGCGAGTTCTTCAAGGTTTACCAGAACACCTGGGCGAAGAACCCAGATGCCACTCAGGGCGACAACGACTTCTGGGGTACCAAGGACCTCAACTACAACTGTACGTACGGTATCACGTCCTTTGCACACCATGGCTAACAACCCAATAGGCGGCAAGCTTGACTTCACCATCCCCAAGAACATTGCTCCTGGTGACTACCTCCTCCGTGCTGAGGCTATCGCCCTTCACGCTGCAGGCCCCGCTGGTGGTGCTCAGCACTACATGACCTGCTACCAGCTTACCGTCACCGGTAGCGGAACCCTCGAGCCCAAGGGTGTCACTTTCCCAGAGGCCTACTCCAAGACTGGTCCTGGTCTTGGTTTCTCCATCCACGCCGATCTCGACTCATACCCCGCCCCTGGCCCTGCTCTCATCGCTGGCGGTACTGAGGCTACCCCCGAGCTTCTCACATTCGGCGAGCTCGCTGGTGCTCCTGCTGCTACCGCTACCGGCGGTGCTGAGACTCCTGCTGCCTCAACCCCGGCCTCCGCTGTCGCCTCTTCCACTGCTGCTCCCGCTTCCACCAGCGCCGCTGCCGAGGCTGAGCCTTCTTCGGTTGCCCCAGTTGAGGTCTCTTCTGCCGTTGAGAGCTCCGCTGTCGCTACTTCTGCCGCCGCCACCTCTGCTGCCGCTTCTTCGGCCGCTGCTCCTGAGGTCTCCAGCGTTGTTGCCCCCTACCCCGTAGCCAACAGCACTTCTTCGATGCTTCCTGGCACCGTCTCTAGCGCTATCGTTGCTCCTACCACCATGCTCACCGCTGTCCGCCCCACTCCTACCGCGGAGCCATCTGGCCCCATCAAGGAGTGGTACCAGTGTGGTGGCCAGGGCTTCAAGGGTGACAACAAGTGCGCTGAGGGTCTTGAGTGCAAGGAGTGGAACCCATACTACTCCCAGTGCGTCAAGCCTGAGGCCAACCAGCCTGGTCCTTCCAAGGGCCCTATGCCTTCTGCTCCCGCACCCAAGCCCACTGCCGTCGCACCTAAGCCCACCGGTGTCGCACCCAAGCCTACCCCCCAGGCTCCCAAGCCCTCTGCTGCTAAGCCTACCCCTGCCGTCCCGATCGAGGCTGAGCCCACCTCCGTCGCACCCGAGGCCGTTGAGCCCACCAAGCCTGCTGCTTCATCCGCGCCCGAGGCCGGTGCTGGTGAGAAGACCTACACCCTCGAGACCTTCATTGCTTTCCTTGAGCAGGAGGCTGGTAGCGAGTCTGCTGCTAAGATCCGCCGCATGATTGAGGCTCTTCAGTAGACAATCTCGCAGTTTTTGCGATGTTTATCTTGTATACATACTTACCCTAGATGGGTAACTTCGATTCTTGTAGCGATGTTTTTGGAATGATACTTCTACCTCTTCATGATCCTTATCATGCCTTGCTGACTTTGCTATCTTTCCAATTGCCTGTCGTTCTGTCCATCTTTTCGATCAAGTGCATACTGCTGGAATCCATTGACGCCCTTGTGGTGTGTGTATCCTCATCTGTACATCGCCGCGGCCAAATTGAACAGGATTTAACATTTTGTGAACGTGCCCACTCAAGAATAGTCGCGTGCAAGATCTGCCTGCCACTAGGGGCGGCTGCAGTTTGTGCGGCAGTTTGCAACTTGCAGTATACATGATAATGAATACTAATAACTAGGCGGTTTCTAAGGTAACGTATCCTTCAACCCCGAATTATTTGTAGAACGTGACACCAGTTCTACCCGCCCCTCGTGCTGTTTCTTGAGGAGCGACCCCGTTGCTGCTCATCCAATATGTGGTATAAATGCCATGGCATCAATCTTCTTGTAAGCTGACGTCGGGAGGTCCCACAGCTGGGGGACAGCTGTATACACAAGAGATATGCGGGCCCCGATGTATACATGCACCATTAACGAGGCGACCATGAACATGGTGATCGAGTACAAGCGCTGGCCCAGTTTCAAAAAAGGGAGGAGAAGGCCGGCTGCCGCTATGTATAGCGATGAGCATCTCTAGGCCCAGTGCATGGAGCCGCTTTTGAACTCGTTGTCACATACAAAGAAATGTGAACTTCCATATATGAATCCACCCACCAGACAGAGTGTAGTGTGCCAGTAAGTGTGTCGCCAGCGGTCGCTGAACTGTCGGTTCCGAACTCGTGGGGTCACATACGTCTGGGAGAAGTTGGCTTGAGGGATGTTGCGAAGGTTGTACATCCGTATTGCTTGTTGAGCTAAGCCGAAACACGCGACCTCGGTTTGGCTCAAGCGAAGTCCTCGTCCATAAGGGTGTCTTGGTTGTTGTGCCAGCCCCGAAACTGGAACCCATGTAGAATGACTCCTTTGATCAAGCAGAAATCGCCAAGGGGCGAAGGCTGCACGGGTTGGAATGGACGGGTTCTGTCGGTGGGAAGGGCAGGTATAGGTTTTCGGTTGTGTTCCTTGAGGAGTGAGGTAGTGGAAAATACAGCAAGAATCGCTGCCATGGCATGCGCGCCCGAGTCGGTGATAGTGATTGGCATCTGGATGTTAAGTGGGTTGTACCACCAGACTATGTACGTCATGAGTAAAACCTCAGAGTGCATCGCCGTCGTCATCTGCAGTGGTTTTTGGAATTCCTGGAAAGACCAGACAAGAGCTTGTAGGAAAGAACGCGATGGTTGAGAACGACGTGTCGTTTTCGTGAGTGAGGTCGCTTTCGCGCGATCTGCGAGCATCGCATGGTGACTTCAAGGATGGAGGTGTGGTTATGGTGTTGTCGTGTAGGTAGAGCCTGTCTTTTGGAGGGTAGGCGTGGCACTGTCGCTACAAGGGTGGATCAAGTTCGCAGCTTCCCTCTGAGGTTGGCAGCGGAAGACCCTTTCGCCCAGGCTTGCGCGCGTGACGTCAACGGATTCAGTAAGGAAACTACTTCCAATATGTATCTTCAAGGAATCAATACCATCATCTTATGTCGCAGGTCCCTTGAAGCATAACGTTGTGACCGACCTGACATACAGCGGGGGTATTCACCGTGGTTATCATGAGTATGCATTGATTATCACGATAGTGTACATTTCCAGTGTCATACGTGCACTGCTACGCTATCGAACTCTGCGCCAATGGAAGGGTTGCGGCTTCTACGACTTCACGACGCTACTCCAAATCTTTGGCTACCACAGTTGCCTCCGCATCTTGACACTTGCCCTCCTTATCTTGCGAATGCCTCTCAAACCTTCAGTCACGAAGTCGCACGATTGTAGCTGGGTCTTTTTCGTACCAATTCGCCTCACTGCGAAAAGAAAAGCTCTCACCCCCACAACGAAACTGGGTGACCATGTTGTCGACTTCTTCCAGTTCAAAGCAATAGAGCAATTTTTCCATATGAGCTTTCATGATCCGTTGGGTCTGCGACACGAAAAAATCTGCATCCAAATCCACAACCAATATCGGAATCTCGTTCGATTGTTTGTGACGCTCGGCCTCCAGGCTCTTGACGAAAGTGATCTTGGTGATGCCAGTTTTGGCTCTGGTAAGATCACCTGTGTCTTGCTGCCACTCATAACAGAGTATAGCTAGCAGATTGTCTCGGTTCCAGTGTTGCTGTCCATCGTATGTCACGCGATAGTCGTCCACTCGCGGCTGCTTCAGTTCACGGAGCCTCTCCAGGAAAGGAAGCAAGTCTGTTCCAACGTCTGAAAGCGGAGCTTGCACGATGTTCGCAACAGACTGACCGATCATCTGTTCTTCTTCGTTGGCTCCAAAGGTAGCGAGGTACTTGTCAACGTGCAGATCGATGCAAAACCCAAGTTCGCTCATGTAGAGAGGTCGGAACTCTTCGCGCAGCATACGACAGGCTTGGGTCAAACCGAAGTAAGGGCGACGGTCGTGTGCGGTAGCCCATTGCTTATCTGTCTTGTAGCGCTTGCGAGATTTGACAGAAGTGTACTTGATGTGGATGGGTTCATCATTGCGGAAGTTCCGATACCCAGCTCCTTCACGTTTCGGTGCTTTTGAAGTCTTACCCTTCTTGTACTCTTTCACGTCTTCCATGATGAACTCGTAGATGCGGTTTCTCAACTCTGTTCATCCAGTTAGCTAGACTCAAATGGTTCCTTTGATGATGTCACTCACCTCCGGGGAGCTTCAGCAGCAGAGATTTGTCGTTGACCACCTCTTTGCGAGCGCGCTTGCGACGGGTGCTTGTCGCAGCAGCAGGCCCGCCATCAATGGCAGGCTCGAGTGCTCGCTTTCTTCCACTGACAGGTTAGCATAAGCGTGGTAGTAGGGTTGCTGAGTACTTACGCCATGTTCAACTCGCGTCGAGATGTGCCACTCGCGAGGCTTGATGGTGTGGTGGTGTAGTGGAAAAGCGTAGGATCTGGCAGAACTAATGTCTTAAGCTCCACGGCGCTTGGACGCGTCGCCTGCGTAATGCGATGAAGGTGAGTGGTGATGGTGAGCAAGTCCACGTGGAGGATGGTGAAGATGAGCGCGCAATTTGATTCAATCGGGAAATAGCTTGAGAGATGCAATAGAAGTATCCACGTTCAGAGCTCATGCTGTAGGGTCGTACCCGCTTGTTCCGGTCTGGTGAAAAGGTCCCAGACGTCTCTTCGAGGATCCGTCTTTGAGATTAAGGTAGCTTCGTCCAAGAGCAGCGCATTGCCATACCACCTCTCCCCACCCACGTGTCCAAGGAAGCTGTTCTCTTGTAGGGTCCATATTAACAGCAGAACAAGATCAGCGCGCACATGCCGATGATGATAACTGCAAGCGTAAGATGAGGTTAAACTAATGCATTAATGAAAGTAAACATTAACGTGCAACGTGTTGCGGAGTATCTTGAGAAAGCACAGTAAAGCCACCCCAGAACCACCATGGTCTATCACCAAACGCCATGCCATCGCTATTAGTATCCAGACTGAGCAACATATGCTGTCGTCTCTCTTACAACCTGAACTTGGCGCTCATCTTCTTGGTAAACGCCATGTTAAACGCTTGCCTCTTCGTGGTCACAAAGCCATTGGGGACCAAGCTTGAGCAATCCTGGAGCTTGCTCGCATCGTTGCCGATAACAGCGAATCGGTCCCATGCGCTCGTGAAAGCAGTAGACCAGCTGTTCGCGTCTTCAGCAAAGTTAGACCACGTGCTGGCTGTCTGTCAAGGCTGTTAGTGACGGATCAGGTGAGAGAATTAAGACAGTGATCACATACCTCAGAGGAGTTTGACATGAGAAGATCGCTCTGGAGACTGTATGGGGCCTTGCGGTCCTTGGTCTCTTGGTAGAAGGTGTTGTCGTATCGGAAAGGCGTGGAGTCGAGACCCTTTCCGGCTTGCGATGGGTCGTCGTGGAATTGGACTGCGACGCTGTGCGCACCCATGAGGGCAACGACATCGTCGGATGAGAAGCCCTTCGCAGCGAAGGCTCCCAGGATGCTTTCGAGGGTGCCGCGGCTGCTGGGTACACTGCCGACAGGCGCGGCGTTTGAGCTGTCTTTGCGGCCGACCAGTGCTTGAACTCTGGGACCGAGCGGGCACGCTGCGATTGCTTGAGCGCCGGCGAACTGGATCATGTCTGCAGCGCTGACTTGGTACTTGTCGCTCCAGTCCTTGAGCTTCGTGCAGATAGCGGAGAGACCGGCGTTCTCTAATCTTCCACACTCGTCTGTGAGAACGAGACTGCCGTCACAGCCATTGTTGATGCAGTCGTGGAAGGGAGCACGAAGGGCCTGGTGAGCATCCGCGCCACAGCCAGCAAAGTCGGCTTGAAGCTCGGTGGCGACGGCAGTCCAGACGGAAGGACAGCTAGAGCTTTGGCGAGGCCATAGAGAGAAGGCTGAAGTTGATGTCGCCGTAAGCGCAACGAGGGTGATGGCTGAGTACCGCATATTGAAGCAGTAGCGAGGGTCGTTCGATGTAGTGTTGTGTTGGTCAAAGATCCGACTTCAACGATCGTAATGATACCAGTATATCAACGCAAGGCTATCGAATTTGAAAGAAGAAAGAAAGACGAAACCGTGCTGAACTGTTGAGCCTGACCAAACCAAATTCGAGGAAACTCCAAAGAAATATATACCCAAACACCAACGTTCGCCGCTCTCAACGGCTGACCGTGAGATGGGTCGCGATCAAAATTAGACCGATGGTGATGACAGCCGTACCGACGCATCCGCGCAAACTGTAGGAAATTCGATAAACACTAAACAGCGATCTTACCCACCGGCAATCTACAGTTCCTCGTCCTCTGCATCTCTTGTCTCCATTCTGACCGATTCGAGCCGTACCCACTTCTAAGATCTGACGATTCCGGTCCATGGCATTGGTCGGTGGGGGTCGTGTAAGCCGTTGGCGGCCTCGCGCTACATGCGACTTCCTACCTAGTATCGCGCACCGGAACACAGTTCCCAGTTACTAATCTCGAGCTATTGCAAGGCCCGGACCCTGACAGGTGTGATAGACGTATCTTCAGCGCTGGCGCTGACAAGTGGCTTCAAGGTTTTCGCGGTTGTGGAATGGTGATCTTGGCGCGTTGCTGTGTTGTTGTCGGTGCTCAAAATCCCCGACGTGAGATCGACAGCATCGGCGCAAGGGTGATCCACAGAATGTTTCCAGAAGCAGTGCATTCGTCGCACAGTCTGCTCGGACCTCAGCATGGAGAGCCGAATTCGTGTTTTTGTCGTCTTGTTTGGGCAGGATGCGATTGTGAGTGCATACTGTTAGTCGGAGGGTCGTTGCTGACACGGCGAGGCATTTCGTGATAGTTTGACAAGACGTCAGGGCCCGCCCCGAACGCGCTACTACACGGTTCCATAATTAGATTGGGTTCTAGCAGCGAATTTATCCCGTGATCTCATGCACGCCCAGCTCCTTCATACCGAGATACAGACAGACCCTGGATATGAGTGATCTATTCCCAAGCATTCGGTATTGTCCCACCTGCGCAGACGCAGGCGAGAGCGAGGCGTCCTGCCGGCAAAACCTTGGTGTTCCGGTCAGCACTACCCCACTACCCACTCATTAGACCTCCGATGCATGCAGGTTCTCGCTAGATGTCGGGATGGTGGAAGCGATGTAGATCGATGTGAGATCAAGCTTTTGTTGTGTCGGTACCTAGGTAGCGTTGTGGAGCAACTGCATGTTCGTGCGAGTAGACATCTCGCTCGGTGATGTGTGCCGAAGGGAGGCTATCATCTTATTCAGTGGAGACTCACCGGTGTCTAGGTCGTTCACGAACGAGTGGGAAATAATGGGTGAAGATGGATTAATTTGTCACTTGTGTAGGCTGTTGGAAGGACGCGGGATAGTCTAGCCCCGTAAGCACATCAGCAAGCGGTGGCATTTCTTCCATATCGGTTTGATGGATAGCATTCATTCGTACACGTAGGGTCTACTCAGCCAGCCCATCGTTAGAGATTGACATCAACGCATCGTGCTAGACCCGCACAGTACTCCCGGTCGACGATCAGAGATCGACTCCGACGTTCAAGTCACAGCCCGCATCGCCTTCAGCTCGAACCGGTCAATCCCATCTCCAGCTCAACCGTCTTTTACTTCCTAACATCCTTGTCGTGCGTCAATTTCCGCCTCTTCGAGACTGCCGCGTTCTCTTTCGCACGAGGAGGTATTTGCCACCCGTCGGCATCCACTTCCATTACGTCTGTGTCGATCTCGATTATCTCCTGGTCCTTGATCTCATGAACCCGCCCTGCGGAACGGGTTACCGCTGTGGGGGATAAGGAAGGAAATCCCTCAGCCCAGGACTGCAATGTCGCCTTCGAGCCCGTCCCTTTAACCGTGAAGCCCATCTCTTTCTCCAGGGTCTCGACCTTCTTTTTCAGTAATTCGTTTCCTGCCTTACACAGAAATATGTTCAGTTGCTTAGGGGCGAGTTGGCCGTCGAGCTTTTTCCCGATCAACTTCTCCGCGAGTCCCATGAGCAATTGATCGTCGTCACCGCGGCACGACCTGACAAGCTCTGTCACCTGCTGCGAGCTCAGTGCAAGCTTACCGGCGTCTGTAATGAACTTGTCGGTCAGGTGCTGGACATATTCTGAGGCGTGTAGAGTGTGAACGCAGATGAAGCGGATACACGTCTCGATCGAGAAGCTTGCCCCGATGAGAGGCATTAGTGCGGGTGTGCACAGGGCCGTAAGCCATTGTGTGATCGCAACAAGAGCAGCTTCATGGATCTTGATCTGAGCTTCGCGCATCTTGCCCTTCCCGGAGACGAGTTTTGCCTGGCCATTTCCACCTCGCAGCTGTACAGCGGGTACATCGAAGGTGAAGTTGATTGCTGGTGCGCGAGGGTGCTTGGCGAGGAATACGAGCGCCTTTTGAGACACAGCCATCAAAGCAAAACGGGGTGCTGAGCCTACGCGACGGCCATAAATTGTGAAGTCGATGAGCCCACCACGAAGCAGCGAAAAGCGCATCATCGGGTTCCATTTGGTCACGTCGACAGGATTGGCCTCAAGCTGTTGCAGGAATAGGCGGACATCGGACTCCGAGAGTTGAGATGCAGATGTCATGTTGACCGTGGCCGGTACGGTTGAGGAGTGTATCAAGTCGTGTGTTGCGTTCAAGTGGGTGAGATCCAGAATATCAACCAGATGAACTGTGATAGTAGTGAGCCGAATGGGCGTTTATTAACAAAAAGGCAAGAGCAGAGTGGCGTAGTTTGGTATCCGTGGGTGAGTCTCTCATTCACTTGGTACTGTGGTACTGGCTCTGGCCAATGACAGACCAGCGTGATGATGAGGGTCAACAAAGCCACTTTCCTGTGAGTTCGGAGCGCCTGCTGTAGTATCGGAGGCAGCGATGAGCTCATCCAACATATCAGTCATTGTACGATGTCCTCGGGCTACGTCCAGACGTCGAACTGGATGCTCTGCTCCCGAGTGCGAGCTGAAGCGCAGATGTTCGAGGTTCCCACACTCCTTCAGAGCGTGTAATAATGACGACCAAGTGCCCGTCACAAGGCGAAGGTCAGAGAATACAGCTCGTCGCAATGTCGCGGCCTGACTTTTGATAATAGCGACTAGGTCGTTTCCATGCAGTGCGCAGAACATGAGCTGGAGTACTTCTAGCTTTAGGCAAGCGCAAGAAGGAACCATGTTCTGGACGATGGCTGCGGCATAGTTAGTCCGATCTAGACTCATTGTGAAGCTTTTCAACTTTGGTGCAGTGGCAATGATATTTCCGACCCCATTCTGCCAACCAGGTGTGCGAGAGAGGTCGTCGTTTCTAGACAAAGCAGAGAGAGTGAGAACTCTGAGGTGCAAAAATCGATAGTGTAGTGTCCTCAGAGATTGCGAGGGCATTTGGAGTGCGGAGAATGGTAGGATGGCCTCTTTGTGCAACGCAGTCCCACGCTTGCACTTGGCCATACGAAACTCGCTCAGACGGACCTCGCTGTTAACGATGGCGTCCATGACGACCTGAAAGCATCTACTACGAAATAGGCAATCGGTTGCGGAAAGAAGACTGCTGGGATCCGCGAGCTGGGATCCCCTCGGATGGAAATGAATGGCCGTCAGGTTGGTGAAGCCTCGCAATGCTCGAACAAGGCCATCGTACACCCGGGTTGGATATTCGCTTCCGACGACATAATTGAATGTGGGTGCTTCGTCCTTGATATCTTTGTTTTGGATGCCAGGTACCCTGGGGAATCGTTTGGGTGGCGGGAACCTGCCCACATGGCTAATGGCAGCGAGGACATCATACTCCGCTGATGTCAGGAGCTGGATCTGTAGGACTTTGACAGAACCACGGAAATGAGGCGACTGCGCTACGTTGACGAGACGGTTGAGAGAGGGTGGTCCAAGAGTAGTCTTTAGGCGGGAGAAAGCGTGTTCTACAAATACAGAATGAGTGAGGAAGCGACATCTCTTGGATGCAAGACGAAGGCTTTTGTGAGACGAGAGATTAAGAGTGGCAGCAACGAGCTCGAACAGCTCGACAGGAAGTTGCTCTAGGTGTGAAGTCATGATGGCATGCTGACTGGAAGCTGGGGTGTGAATCAAGGATGTTGACGGGGACGGGTGAAGGGTGGCACATGCTGTCAGTCAGGGCCTAGCCCGGAGCTAAGAGCCGTGATAGCGTCAACCCCGCGAGTCCAGGAGCAGCGCACGACCTCAACCCAGCGAGCGACGAGAAGCCACGCTTCTTCTGAGTGAACAACACTCTCGTTCACATTATCTGCCTCATCTACTTTTTTTCTTCCATCACGCTCCCCATCACGGTTGCATCGCCCGCGGGTGCCGAACACCGGCCACAACGCAGTGGAGCCCGACAAAGATTTGACACAACCGCACCTGCCGTCAACAGCTCGTACAACAACCATGGACTCGATGCGCAGCCTCAACAAGTCGCTGCCCAAGACAAGAGGGCAGCACGACGTGCACCAGTCCTTCCGCACCGCTGCCCTGAACGTGACGCATCTGTACAAGTCTGCGCTTGCCGACATCGACAGGGCCCGTACCGACGGCTACCAGGAAGCTCTCGATGAGCTGCTCACCTTCCTCGACAAGGAGAATATTGGCGTGGGCGACGGCGAGGGCTGGCGAATACGGCAGTGGGCCACGGAACGACTAGACGGAAGCTTGCCCAAGCAGACGAGCAGCGACAGCGACGACGAATACCTCGACAACAACCGCGCCAGAAGCTCATCACCCATCATGGACCGAACTCACGGCATGGACGACTCAAGCACGCTGGCACCTTCAACGATTACGGACACACGCTCTGACTCTGCGCCGCCCCTCCAGATGGAAGCTTCTACGACTGAAGCCGACATGTCGCCGCTGCACCATATCTTCGAGTTCTCTGCCGCACAAACCCTACCCTCTGAATCACCAAACGAGACCGCCGTCGCCGATATGTCAGCTGCTGCCCGTCGCGCTTTCCCTGCTTCCCGCCGCCCTACGAACCGCTCGTCTACCCGAAACCTCCAACGATCCGCCGCCCAGAACCTCTTTCAACTAGGCAACGGTGCAGGGCAGAAGAGACGACTCATGAACGACTTCTTCAACGTCGATGGCTTCAACGACCGGCGAGACGGCTCATCAGGCGGAGGATCTAAGCGCGGACGCATGTCGTAGCACCGCAGCTCGGCGAAGCCTGAGGGCCCGTCATCGAACTCCAGGCAATGACACGAACGACCATTCGACGAATCACGACTACTTGCATCATACCCAGACGGCGCACAGGGCTTGTGGATCATTTTTTCATACGCATTGGGGGAGGCTTACTAGACGCATTCTGTGGTGTTATTGATTTCGGAGGCTATATACCTTTTCGCATTTTCTACGGGGTGGGACATCATTCGGGGGTGGAAGTAGATAGCGGTTTTTTTTTGGAGGTTTGGTGTTAATACCATCATTACATGTCCTCAACTGTTGTATGCCATATGCAGTGACTCATCTCGTTCGTGAAGATGTGACAACCAAACGCCGATGCATGCCCATGTTTGTACTCAAGTCTTTCCGCCTACAATACCTAGGTATACGTTTCAGGCTTGTGACCTTCAAGCGTGTCCTTATATCCCCCCCGTTATGCAAACCACCGATATAACCCCAGGCCCACCATGACGGCGCTTGTTCCTGTTATTGCCATTCCTCTACTCCGCATTCCGAACATGCTTTTGCTGGCTCGTATCGCGGCTTCGTTGGCTTTGATCTGTGAATGACCCGAGACGTACGTGAAGGCGCCGAGGCCTAGAAACGTTGCACTTCCTAACAAAGAGTCAGTACTGAGGTAGATACAGTGTGGTTTAGAGTACAATACCGACTACGCGACATGGAGTGCAATCTTCAAATTCCGCTCTGTCATTCTTGAGAGCCTCTTTGAAGGTCGGAGCGGAAGGAGGTGGCAGTGTCATTATCGCGACACTAGACAGACAGCCCAGCGACTAACTCAGATGCAAGACTCTGGCTCTATCGTGTAAAGATGTTGCGACCAAAAGTCTGGACGACCTGCTGCTAGGCATGCAGGGATCTTTCTAGCTCCGGCAGCTCCCCGCCCAAACTGCCCCACGACGCGGACCTCACGTCTTCCCACGCGCATGGCTCGCAGCTGACATTTCCCACCATGAGCGCCATTGAAGCTCTCTACATCTTTGATGAGCACAAGTAAGACTCGACTACTTCAGCGATTACGTCATCCGTCTCTAACATCTTCAGCACTCCACTCCTCGAACACACGTACCTCAACCGCCCGCCTCCATCCTCCGTCCTCCTGCCTCTCTACCTCGCGCATCCCGCCCCCCGGCCGCCGCTGATATATTTGCCCAACACCAACCCACCGACGCTGCTATACAGCATAATACAAGACCAGCTTCTGTTCCTGTGCCCGGCATCAGCAGACACCGACCCCCTCGCCGTCCTCACCTTCCTCCACCGCCTGACCGACGTGCTCGAAGACTTCCTGGGGTCACCACTGCTAGCGAGCAAGATCGAAGGGAACTACGATGTCGTCGCACAGCTACTCAGCGAGATGGTGGATGGCGGAATCATCGCGAACACGGAACCGAACGCGCTGAGAGATGTCGTCGAAGCGCCGAATCTACTCAAGAGTCTACTGGGAGGAGTGGGACTGCCCTCTTCGACACCTAGCTCGCTCGCGCCCTCTGCTACTGGAGCATTCGGTCTAGGTGGTGGCAGAGCAAGCCCACGATTGGGACCATCACCAACCTCAAGTCAGACAGGCTCACCGGTGCCATGGAGAAGAGCGAACGTCAGGCATACGAGCAACGAGATGTATGTGGATATTGTGGAAACACTAGAGGTCACTCTGTCACCATCTGGTCGCCCTCTAGCCGCCATGGCCAACGGTACGATCGCCTTCACGGCCAAGGTCTCTGGAATACCTGATCTCATACTACACTTGGGATGCGCAGGTGGCATACAAAACGCAGTCTCACTCCCTGTCTTCCATCCCTGCGTCAGACTCAACCAGTGGAAAGCGAGGCCAGGTGAACTTTCATTCGTACCGCCAGACGGTCGCTTTGTGCTTGCGGGATACGAAGTGGACTTGCTGGGATCTGCAGCACTCGATGCCTTCTCCACGGAGAAGAACGCAAAGACTTCAAGTCCAAAACTAAACATACCAGCTACAGTATCCGTCCACCCCTCTCTCGGTCCGACCGGCACAGACTTCGAAGTCAAACTCCAACTCAATCCACGCTTCTCTGGAAACAAGCCCTCCCAACCCAGCGCGGCGAAAGCTAGCCTGGGACGCGTATCCTCCACGACAGGAACCACATCCGCCCCCGCAATCGAAGAAATGACCATCCACATCCCGCTTCCAGCGTCCGTCAGAAACGTCGCCGATCTACGCGTCGCGCGCGGAACAGGAGATGCAGGCTACGCGCCCGGAGACAGGGCAATAGAATGGCGCATCAGCAGTCGCGAGATAAGCAATCTCATGTCTCAAGACCGCGGCGGTGGGGTCGGTGCGACGGCTACATTGCGCGGGACGGTGATTGGGCAGGATGACCCATCTGCGGAGGACGCGTTGGACGCTGGTGGACCTGTATCGTTCGCGACATCGACATACGATTACGATGATGATCAGGGCACACAAGTCTCTTTACCTGCACATTCGTCATCGAGCGTAGCCAAGCCGGATAGCGATGCGAAGATTAAACAGGCAAACAAAGTCCTCATGCCAAGCTGTGCGACCATTAGCTTCTCCGTCAAGGGTTGGCTGCCGAGTGGAATCAAGGTGGAGAGTTTGAATGTAGATCAGAAGAAGAGTAAAGGGCTAGGTAGTGGTGTCACGCCGTACAAGGGCGTCAAGTACCTTTGTGTGAGTCGGAAGGGTGTAGAGTGTAGATGTTAGAAAGGAGTCAAAGAGACAAACAACTCCCAATGAGACATCTTCACGAGTTTGCTGCACGATTACGATCACGTATGAAAAGGTGTTTGCGTCCATCGATGACATTACCAACTATAACTACCTGACATTCCTTGATGGCGTTGAAGATACACCCAGACATCCTATAGTCTTATCAATGAATCAAGCTGTCGCTCTATATACCCTTTTTTCGAAGTAAATGCAGAGCACTACAGAGCATACAGTACTCTCACTCGCTTGAACGCATTGGAATGCGCTCGCGTCGTCGAAGTCGCCAATCATTCGTCTTTTTTCCACGATGTACTCCATCCCTCCCTCCCGTACACCGCGTCATGTCACTAGGCGGACCTAGTGGAGAGTGGTGAACAACGCGTCACCAGGCGCCGGGGTAGCGGGCTTGTTTCCTGGTGCCGGTGCGACAGGCGTGTTGCTCGGTGCCGCCTTGCTACGGTTCCTACCCTTGCCACCGCTGCGGTCGTTGCTTCCACCACGAGCACTACCCTCAGGCGAATTCCAGGTCTTGCGTGGACGGCCTCCAATTCGCTTCTCGATCTTCTCCACTTTCTCCTTTAGAGACTGATGCTTGGCCATCAGCTTCTCCAAATCAGCCGCGCCCTTGGCGTTGCCAACCTTCTTTTGGTTGACAAGGTTGTGAACCATGCAGTCAAACACCGGGTCGTTTTCCGGGTATGCCAGCTGGCAAAGAAGGTCCATGAATTCGAAGGATACGTCCTGAGCACGAATCCGGTCACAGAACTGCTTGGTGAACTGGGCCACGTACGTGTTGTTCAAGCCCAGCACGCGAGCGGCGCGGCAGATGTGTAGGTTCTTCTTGTCGTACACCGTTTCAGTCTGCAGGCGGACAGAGTAGACCCTGCTCTGGTAGGTCATCTCATCCATCCACTTGAGATGCGCCGTCGCAGCATCAGCGTCCATTGAACCGGCGGGGAGAACCCATGAGGTCGCATCGGGGTTGGTGGTGAAGTACTTGTATGCCTTGCCTGAGCACTGCATCAGAACGTACTTTGGGATACTAGCCAGTTTGGCCTCTCCAAGCTTGACGATGACCTCAGGACCATTACCGAAGACGACGCGCTGCCCGTGCGACATGTGACGGATGTCAGCCGAAGGGTTGAGCTCGGGCATGGTACCATTCTTGTCGCGCGCCTGCCTAGACGAGTGACCCCAGGGAGTGGTATGGCCATTCAGCTCTGCAGCGGGCGATGATGGAGGTGGAATCTTTGCGGCGGCCGACGCAACCGGCTTCTTCCCGTACTTGGACATATCAATGCCAAAGGTCAGGGTCTTGGGCTTCGGAGCCGGAGGAACGACCTTCAGGGTCTCCTTCGTCACAAAATTGGGGAATGAGGATGTGACAAGCGATGGGCCGCTGGTGTTCTTCGACGTTCCGGTCTCCTCAGGCTGCTTAGTGACGACGGTTGCAGGCTTCTCGTCCTTGACTTCCTCAGTCATGGAAGCATCAACCATCTCAAAGCTGTCTGAATCAGAAGCCACAGATGCGGTCTTCTTAGCCTTGGTCGCTGTCTCGGTCACAACATCGGCGCCATTCGACTTGATGCTTTCCGATGCTTCATTCTTACGTTCATCCTCAGTGATCACTTCGTCGTTCGTGGGGACAGGAACGAGCGCGGTTGACTCCTGTTCAAGGCTGCTAATGGTCGCAGCCTTCTTCGCTTCCTCAAGGTTACCAATCGTAGAGATCTTCTCTTGAAGCTCAGCCTTCAGATTCTTCATCTGGCTGTCCTTCTCTTCAGCCTCGCGGAGAAGCTCCTGGTTGTGAGCAAGATGGTCGGTATTCGCCTTCTTGAGCCTCTCGATCTCAACCTCTTTCTTTTGGATCTCCGTCTCGAGATCGCCAATGTGGGTGTCCTTGTCTTGGACTGCGCCTTCTAGCTCCGCGATACGAAGCGTCTTGGTTTCGACCAATGCGTCCAACTCTTTGACACGCTCCTCTTTCAGGGCAACGGTGGTCTCCAGGGTGGCGATCTTGGGGTCCTGGCTCATGAATTCGGCGATGAAGGTGTTATCGTCATCGTCTTCATCGGCCCAGTTGGTCTTCTTGCCAATGGCGGACTTAGGGTAGGTACCATTGGACGCGCCGTTCGTAGTCTGGCCGTTGGTCATGCCCTTGAGGACAAGGCCCTTCTTCAGTTGCGGGTCTGGTTTCGCCTTCGGCGGCGCCTCTGCGATCTTCGGGTTCGGGGAGTCGGCGGACTTGATCTTGCTGCCGCCAGCAGCCCAGAAGGAAGGAGCCGTCGCCATCTTGTGAGATCGCTTGACGAGCGGGGTAGGAGTCGGGGGTTGGGGCGCGGCTCGTGAGGTGTGGGAGGCGGAGGTGAGGGCGAAGCTCGCTTGATGGATACTGATCGCCTGAGGAAGGCTCAAATTGCGCAAGGTCGACAGAAGATTTTGGCGGTAGAGGCTTCGGAACGCAAGAGTTGTAGCTGCGCAGTTGAGGAGCGAGTGTGGAGAGAGTAAGAAGAAAGGTGAGGGCGGGCGGATTATGTACTGGGGAGGGAGCGGCTAGCAAAATTGAGAGGTGCGTGTGAAGGCGGAAGTGTGCGAGGCGAGTCCAAGCTTTTCGTGGTGTTGAGGGTCGAGTGAAGACAACCTTGGAAGGAAAGAGCGCCACACAAAGGAAATTGTCTGCAGAAAGCAGGCGCAATCGAGCTGTCAAAAGCTGAACTCAGTTTCACCGCACATGCAGACAAGCATTGTACCACTTCCAAAGCCCTTCACAATTCCAGGCAAAACATGGTAGCGATGCGTTTACGTGCGCTGATATTTGAGATGACAAACCTCTGATAGGGCGAGACCACGGATAGACGAGTTTGCCATGTGCGTATCCGCTCCAAGGAAGTAACCCCATCCAATTCCAAGATAATCGCTACTGCGAGCCAATATGCCCACTCATCCCCACCGAGTGAAGAAGTGATAGCACGTATACGCCTCCCGGTATGCACTCAGCCACGATGCCTCAACGACACTGTTTCACTGTGCACTCTAAGTCCAGAGTTGACGGAAGTCGATCTTCACTCTCCATCTCTTTCTAGGGTGCCTCTATGTTCATTCGCGCTTCCTTTCTCGTGAAAACATCTTCCCCCTTCATTCGGTATTGCAGCGCGCTCGTTGGGCGTGGAGGAGAAGCCGGCATCACCCGCGGCGTGGTTCACTGAAAGCATGGCTCCACTGTAGCGCATGCCAGGGAGGCCTTCATCGCGGAACCTTATCAGGGGTATCGAAGTAGTGAGCTTGTATTCATCTCCAGTGGTGTTTAGTCGTTGTAGAAGCTATGAGGCGCGAAGCGATGGGGCGGAAGACGCGTCGACGCGACAGCCCTGCGATCCCCGCATCCGAAGTCCGAACTTGTCAGCCAATGGGAGCTCAAGGAAGTCTACATACACCTACATCTCTCCTGCATCGATGGCATCTGGTTCTATAAGATTACACCATGTCTCGTCTCGTTCCTCAAGCCTGGCACCGCTGCAACTATCTCCCAGACCATCTTGACGGTCAAACCAGTGGGCCACTATGACTACTCAAGCCCGCAACCTCTTCCACCACCTTCCTCCGCCAGCGGAATGCCTCGCGCTCTTCATCGCAACCCTCGAAATCGTTCCGTTCGGAATAATAGGTCTACGAGACCCCTCCTTCTTCGCTGATGGCTACGGTCTGCCCATCTCGGCCGAGTCCGACACTTCGCCCGCATCCGCAAAACGCTCCAGCAACACCGAAAGCACCTACGACGAGGATCAGAAGACCAAGAAAGCCCTAGTTGCAGCAATAGCAGCGCGCAACGTTCAGAACGGCGTTCTGTTAGCGGTCTTTGGTCTGGTACTGCGAGACAGGAGGAGCTTGGGAGTTGCGGTCATGGCGGGATTGGTCGCAACTGTCGCGGATACGGTGATTGTCAGCGCGTATGGAGCGAAGGACAAGATTGCGGGTCACTACGTTGGCATCTTCAACAGCTTGGCGATTGGAGGGAGTTTGCTATACTGGGGAAGGAACGACCCGCTGTGGTAAACCTACGGCCGAGGGAGCATAAGGGATGGAAGGAGAGAATCAAACACGATGAGCCGGCGGCATGAAGCGAGGTGTAGACATGAATCGCGGGGGTTTGCCTAGCGTCCAAGACAAGCAGCGCCATTCAGGCAGCAGTCCCTGTCCCTATTCTTCTCCCGTCTCCCTCCCATTCTTCTCACATCTCTTTGGTACTGACGGCCACTATGGCATGTAAGCACACCATTCTACAACTAAATTCCTCGCCCTTCGCAGAACTAGCTGGATATGAACAGCCACATGCCGCAGCACGTGCAGCAGCAGAAACGACGTCTGGGAGAGCGCCGAAGAGTGTCAAGGATCATTCCATCGGAACATTTCCCGCTCCTCTAGTCCTACCTCACGATGAGCTCAACTATGATCCAGATTCTGAACCGCAGAGTACGAAGGGATGGCTGAGCGAGGAGTGTAGGAACAAACTATCATCGGCGCCAAGAAGGAACAAGTTGTATGTGGTGCAAGTGCCTGGGATCGGTTTCAAGGCAGACTTTATGAGACACTGGGTAGTACCAAGCGGTTACGATGCAGTCAAAGTCGAGGGTAAAGCCGGTCTCTCTCCTCCATCTGCGGATCACTTCGTCGACTATCTCACCGCATTCTATCACGATATGCCTGTTCGTCTCTTCCCCACGCCATTGACCTGGACATCGTGGGGCTCGAATACCAAGTCCGCCATGGGCTGTCGAAGCGCCACTCTGCCGAAGTACATCGGCCTATCACATGGAGATCAATGCACCAGAATCCGCGTCCGCCCTGCGCCGGACAAGGCCTTCCCCGTTCAACTGAATCTAGACGACATCCTCGACACAGCAATCTCAATTCTGCCTGATGACGCTTATGCAATGGTCCTCCTAGTCGACCACGACATTTACGAGTCTGACGATGACGACTTCTGTTGTGGCAGGGCGTATGGAGGCAGCAGAGTGGCAGTTGTACAGGCTGCGCGATATAATCCCATTTTAGACGAACGAGAAGGAGAAAAGATCGATAGAAGCCACATGTGGCCGTGGAGTCATTGTAAAACCTTCGTCGATGACTTGTGTGCTGTGGAGGATGTGAAAGCCAAAGCCGCTGCAAAGAAACAGAAAGAACTGAGCAAGAGTGGAGCGATGAAAGCGGCCATCCAGGCTGCGGCAACCTATAAGCCTACATCAGCGGTGCAAGAAGTCCAGGCACTGTGGTTCTCACGTCTCGCGCGTACAGTGTCACACGAACTAGGACATTGTTTTGCGCTCGACCATTGTGTATACTATGCATGTAATATGCAGGGTACAGGTAGCATGAGGGAAGATGTAAGACAACCGCCATATCTGTGTCCGGTGTGCGAAGCAAAGGTAGCACACGCTATTGCTGGAGAGATGAAGAGTGGTCGCGAAGAGGAGAAGACAGAATGGATCAAGCAGAGATGCGAGGCTCTGAGGCACTTCTGCGAGAGGTTGGGAGAGAAAGACATGGATAGTTCGATGTGGCACGGCTTGGACGGGTGGCTGCAAGAAAGAATGATAGCGTTGTAATACCAATGGCACGCGAGCGCATCTAAACAACCTATGCTTCATGTCACGAATCTGTACATCTGCGAGATACTCAGAATCTTCACACGACCGATATTCGGAGTGAAGGTCTTGGTCATAGTACGTGTCATTGGCTGCCGCTTCGATGACACATGGAGCATCAGCTCACGGAATTGCAGCAGTAGGCGGATATCTCTTCTTACTCGTTTGGTTTTGGCGCGACGCAGCTATTTCAATGGAGTAATCCGTGTGCTGAAGAAAGACAAGATCGTCGCGTGAGCTCCCAAGGACGTGGTTCATCAAACCTAGACCGACCACCCAAGTTGGAGCTACGGCTTACGAACGTACCGTGCTTGAATCTAAACGAATGATGATTACTGAAAGACATCCTGCCTGCATGATGAGACGCGGGTAGTGGTTCAGTGATGTGTGTTGACGCACACGGGAAGCGTACCCCTCATTGCCCCACCATGTCCCAACACATGCACCTACAGTGAGCAATTTATCCATATATGACCTCAATGATGGCATGAGACGTAAAGTATAAGTAGCCGGCTCTATCCGCGGCTTCAAGCTGCATCCTCAATTGTTCCTCAACTTTTTCCAATCGCACATATCCAGCTTTCACCAACCCAACACAACCCACTTTTGGTACGATGCTATCATCGAACCAGCAAAGCGAGGCCAATCTGGCTCCGCTCTTCGCACACCAGAATTCCATCTCGGTCAAGTAACAGGTGCCCAGCATGGCATCATCAGGTACCCATCTCAACCATCAGAAGCAAAGCATGGCGGGTGTTCAAGTCATCAGCGACTCAGATTCCTTCTCGGGATCTGATCGTTGATGATTTGTTCTGAGATCATACCGTTCAAACTTGATCTGGATAATTCCAGCGCGAAGGACTATTGCTGCTTCATGATGACCCCTTCCCCACTATGTTGGCGTACTGACTAGCTCAGCCTCTGCACCCAAGTCAAGATGTCGACTGATAAGATCACCTTTTTGACCAACTGGTGCGCTTTGCAACTAGGTTGCATGAGGTGTATACTGACGGTGAACAGGCACGCTACGCCATACCACGCTCCCCTCTATCTTGCTCAGAGCAAGGGATACTTCAAGGATGAAGGCATCAAGGTCGCTCTTCTTGAGCCCAATGATCCTAGCGTATGACCAATGCTGTTCCCCGTACTTCATGAGCTGATCAAGTCAGGACGTCACCGAGATCATCGGATCTGGCAAGGTCGATCTCGGCTTCAAGGCCATGATCCACACACTCGCTGCCGCCGCTCGTGGCTTTCCGGTTCAATCAATTGGCTCTCTTCTCAATGAGCCCTTCACTGGCGTCGTGTACCTGACGTCTTCCGGTATCACCCCCGACTTCACCACCCTCAAGGGCAAGAAGATTGGCTACGTCGGCGAGTTCGGCAAGATCCAGCTCGACGAACTCACCGCGCATTACGGTATGTCGCCCGACGACTACCAGGCCGTCCGCGTTGGCATGAACGTGACCCGCTCCATCATCACGGGCGAAATCGACGCCGGCATCGGTCTCGAAAACGTCCAGATGGTCGAACTCGAAGAGTGGCTCGTGAGCCAGAACCGCTCGCGCGACGAAGTGAAGATGCTGCGCATCGATGAGCTCGCTCAACTCGGCTGCTGCTGCTTCTGCAGCATCCTCTACATCGGCAACAACGCTTTCATCAAGCAGAATCCCGAGAAAGTCCGCGCCTTCCTTCGCGCATGCAAGCGCGCCACCGACTTTGTCCTCGAGTCTCCCGACCAGGCATGGGAGGAATTCTGCAACTTCAAGTCGGCTATGAACACGCCTACCAACCGCAAGATCTTCGAGCGTAGCTTCGCGTACTTCAGTCCCGACCTTCAGAATGTTCAGCGTGACTGGGAGAAGGTTACCCGCTACGGCAAGAGGCTCGGTGTGCTGGACGACAGTTTCAAGCCCAACTACACGAACGAGTATTTGGCTTGGGGTCTGGAGGAGGAAGCTGACGATCCTACCGGCGATCAGAAGAGGATGGTTGAGCTGCAGGAGGGCGTCAAGCAGCATGGCGGGTTCAAGCGCCTCGAAACGATGTCTGGCAAGACTGTCGTTGGCGCTGCTGCCCCTGCCTCTTAATTCGGCGTACAGGTACTCGAATTTGGAGATTCAATCATTAGCTCCATCTCAACGCGTCGGAGATCTTCGGTCTGCGGCTTAATTGCCAGTACAATATCGACATGAACAATGAAATTGTCACTCGCTCAGGATCTCTTTATTGCCAATTGTACGTGGCTTCCGTGAGGTTAGTGACGAACAGCTTGTGTAATTTACCAAAGCTCACGCTCATCACCACCAGAGGGTTTCTGACGTAATCGGCAGCCAGACGACCATCTCCGGCCACCGGGGAAATGAGTGAATGCACAGATCCAAGCCCATTTTCACAGTCACGCGGCATCTGATCCGCATCTATCTTTGCGAAGTATGCAGAATAGTGCGAAGAGTATAGCGATGCGACAAGCGGCATCTCTTTATTAGAAGTGGGGCAGGGTCGACCCCGGGTGCTGTTGCTTACGAGTGCGCAGTGACAATCACGTGCCTTCTACAATCGCGCGGTAAGCTTCCCGAGGTCGTCTCACGTCCCTTGTTATCGATAACCGGCAACGTGAGTATCCAGTTGCCACTCAGTGGCTTCACTCTCAAATCACATCACAGCTGCCGCTCTCTCGAATGCGTCTCACATGTCTTCCTAGGACTGGAGGTGACGGAGAACTCGTCTAGTTATCTAGACTTTTACTAAAGACACATGCTTTTATTACCTGTCCACGTGGGAAGCCAGTGCAATATACCTCATTTCTCTCACCTCAGAACCTTAGATGATCATAAATAGAACCTCGTCGTCTTTTCAGCTCCATCTTTCCTACATCATCGCAATAACATCTCTCGTCAATTGCCATTTATCTCCATCATCACCACTTACCAAAACAATCCCAACGCAACAAAAAACAGCCAACAAGAAAAACCAACGAGAAAAGCTATCAAGAGAAGCCAACAACAAACAGCCACCAAGATGCCGAACGTCGAAAAGGAGATGGCCGCTTCCTACACAGATGCGAAGGACTACCACGTAAGATGCACCCAACACGTCACGCTTAGGATCAACACTAATGTGAACAGCCTGGTGAAGACCCGAAGAACTACGTCTTTTCTGTTGCCTCTAAGCGAATGCTTGTTGCCGAGGACCATGTCACAGGCATTCTGGTCTGGATGGCTGTTCACATCAACAAGATGCCAGCCAAGGACAACTTCACATTGAAACCATCTTACTACAACTCTCCGAGCGAGAACGAACAGACCAACGTAGTCGAGGCAAAAAATATCAACAAGGACCATTTGTTCCACGGACTGCCGAGAAACAACTGGTGGATTCAGACCGCGCTCACGATCTACAAGAACAAGTACCGAGACTCCCTTTCGGAAGAGCTCGTAAGAAAGCAAAACAAATTCAAGAGCAAGCGAGCCAAGCCAGCCAGGATCACTAAATCGCAGCTCAAGAGCACCAGGAGCATCAATAGCATCAAGAAGACCAAGAAAACCAAGAGCATCAAGAGGAAGCAGCACAACTCCAAGATCACCGAACTAGAAGAGTTGCTCTTCGGCCATAAAACTGGCGTCTCTGCAAGCGACTCCAAGGCCATCGCAGCCGAGATAGCCAAGGCAATCAAATTCAAGACAGCACCCCCAGCATGTGTCCTCTCGCTCATGAAAGAGACCATGGCCGACCTGGCGGAGAGGATTAGGATTAGGGAACTAGCAGGTGATATTTGAGAGCAACGGGATACGCGAAACATGAGGCCTCAGCGAGCTCTTGGCGTCAAGAACATATTCTGAATTTATACCTGGGTTGAGTCCAACAGGACGTAAACGAAACTTGCAAAGTAGGGGAGGCGAGAAAAGGGTGTCATTTTCTTTTCTACATATTATCAGATCTTTACCAGACTCAGCATGAATTTCTTCAAAACATACAGTCAATTTGATATCAGCTTGACGCGACCATGACACAGCCTCCTCTATTGTGATTTGCTATTGATATCAAGAGACTCCGCTTAACTTTTTGGACGCAACAGATATGTCCGGCTGCCATGCTGTTGAATCAGTGATCGTGATCACAGCTCAAGCGACCGCGTCCCGCGCATTTCGATCCTTACGCTACGCATTCGTGCGCCTTGTCCGTTGTTATCAAACATCTTGCCCGACAGCATATTGGCTAAGCTGGGTTGATTGGCTGACGGGAACCCACACCGTGGCCAGGAGCTGTCGTGTTACGTATGAGCCAACGATCAGGCTTTGTGCGTAGATGTTAGCAACGTTAGAAAGTCCATTGTAAGGGCATGGCAATATTAAAGGAATGTCATCATCACAGTGAAGCAGATCAAGATCAGATATAGTTTACACTCATTATATTATACTACATACACAGTGCTCAGCACCAGACCAAGAGGAAAGAGGACATCGAAAGCCAACCATACCGGCTCCGATCCATGGAAAACCTATCCTCGAACGCCAAAGTATGCAGTTCAACCGTAAGCGGCCGTTGAAACCCACGCCTTGATAAACACCAGTCAGGCCCTACACGGGCCTTGACATGCGACCGTACTCCAATCCTCTGCCATTACTCTTCCATTTTGTCGTTGTCCTTGTTTGCCTCCTTAGCAGGCTCCTTCAAGAACTGTGCGCGGAAGTCTGCGTTGCTCTTCGGCTCGCCGTTCGTCGTTGTAGCACCTTTCGGTATAGCTGGGCGACCAAGACCGGGCTTTCCTCGTCCTCGTCCACCGCGAGCAGCAGTAGGTCGGTTGACACGGTTTGGCTGGATGAAGCTGTTGCTTGCCTTCCACTCTCCTTTCTGCTTGTTGAGGTCCTGAACTGTTCCGATGCGCAGTTTCCTTCCCTCGAAATCTTTGCCCTCAAGCGCAAACTGAGCCTTGCCAGCACCTTCCACGGTTGTGAACTCGATGATCGCACCACCATGATGGGGTTCGAGCTTGATCCTCTTGAAGCCGTACTGTTCGACAAGCGGTTTGATGCGCACGTCAGGCACCGTGTCAGGCAGGTTGAGGATTGCAATGGATCGGTCCATAAAGGATGCGGGCTTGATAGCGGTTTCAGGGGCAGCGTCGCTCTGTCCAGGAGTACCTTCGCGAACGGCTGGGTTATCCGTGTTGTCGAGGGTTGATTGCACCTTTGGCTTCGTGTCAGGTCGCTCTTTTGCAATCTCGACATTAATCTTCATGCCCGCAAACTCTTTGTCATGCATTTCTGCCACTGCAGCTTCAGCGCTATCCTTGTTATCGTAAACGACATAACAGTAACCCTTGTTGTTGCCAGTCGACCTGATAGTTGGGCACTTGGTGCTCTCAATCTTGCCGAACTTGGAGAAGACGTCCCTAACTTCTCGTTCTTTAACCTTGAAGTTGAGATGCCAGATGTAGACTTCGCGACCCTCGGAGGTAGCGCCATCGCGTTTCTTCTTGGCCTTGGGGTCCGAGATCTTTGAAATTAGCTTCAACCCTTCATGGTCAGTGTCGTTCAGCTGTGTCGCAGCGACCGCTTGTTCAGCTGAAGCAAACTGAACGTAGCAGAACCGGCGATGCGCATCGTACTTGAGTGAAGGAAAGCGGATGCCGATAATCTCTCCGAATGGACTGAAGAGGCTCCGGATCCAGGCTTCGTCGGCATGCGCAGGGTAGTTTGCGACGTATAGTGTCGTGCCTTGACCTCGCTCGATCGATATGTTGTGACCTTCGAATCCTTTCGCCTCTTTGCTCAGAGCATACTGGGCTTCTTCAGGTGACTCAAACTCCACCACAGCCGTGAGACTATCCTTCTCCTCTTTAAGTACTAGATTGCGTACTGTGCCTGCGTCGGTAAAGAACTGGCGTATTCGAGTCTGTGTAGTGTTGAATGGTAGCTTCTTCACGATGACTGTAGTGTGTTCGCGATCTCGCTTCGGTCCTGTAGAGCGAGCTTCCGAGGGTGCTTCGCTCGCGACTCTGGCTTGACCATTGACCCCGTCAAGAGCCTCTGAGATCTCTACATGTTTGCTCTTCTTCAATACTGCGTCCTCGTCACCGTCTTCTCGTTTCCGCTTCGTCGAGCTGTCTCCGACTTGGCTATCTGGCGTGTCTTGTGGCGGAGCTGCAGCGGCCGCAAGTGCTCGCTCTTTCTCCCTCCGGACGGACACGATGCGCTCAGCTCGTCGTCGCTCAATCGTCGCGCTACGTACCTTCAACGCCGATTCGTGCTGCTCGCAATGGCTGATGTACATGTCGATAAGCAGCTCTGGTTGATCAATCGTTTGTAAGCGCTTCATGCCACGTTCCAGAATGGCAGTGGCCTGAGTGGGCGGCAATAGCGGTTGACCTGCATTTTGCTTGCTCCTCGTTGCGTGTGGCGCCCATAGGAGCATCTCGAATATGTAGCAGCGATACCAGAAGTCGTAAGAGTCCTCCTGGTACTTGGTGATAGAGTCTTGAATCTGCCGCGCTTGATCGATGTCACCACGCTGAAGCCAGAACTTGATATGGGCGCGCTCAAGACGGTACTTCCGGTCCGTCCATTCTCTGCCATGCTTCTTCATGCCGACCTCTCTGACAAACTCCAAAGCCGATCGGATTCCGACCTCGGCAACATCAACATCGTCCTCCGTTGCTCTGGGATCATCGAAAGCCCTTCGTCGAAGATATCCACACCAAGCGAGCTGAACCTTGATGAGCTCATCCAAATCGGTGTGCTCCAGAAGTCCGGATCCAGTGGCCGTGTGCTTGACAAGTTCCAGGTCCTCGAATGGCTTATTCTCCGCTTCTAGTGTCAATAACCGGTGTGACCAGAGCGATCCAGACCATGGGCAATGGCGCGTCGCGCGCTCCAAAACATTGAGTAGATCTACCGACCGGTTATCCTGCCAAACAAGAAATTCGACGTGATCTTCCCATATTGAAGGATCGACAGGAAATCGGAGCGTAGCTCGCTCGTAAAGTGCATTGACGAGATGGAAGCTATAGACACCCATAGTCCTCTTCTCCCATTTCAGGTAGCGTGTCATGGCGGTGTATTCTGCAGCCTGGTCGCCTGCTTGGATAGCCTGCAGGAGTTTGAACTCGTACTCTTCGCGGTTGGCGTATTGCTGCTTGATGTGTGTATTCTTTTGCACCACCTCGTCCATGACCTGCTCATAGTGGCTCTGGTTATAGCGAGAATTGAAAGAAGAGTATCTGCTAAGGGTGTTCGCCCATGTTGCATGTGGTTGGCCCAGGCGATCGTTGTAGATGGCGGCTACTCTCTTCGCCTTCTCTTGGCTGAAACCTCCTCGCTCGAGGTCTTCTTCCAAAACCTGGAGGTAGCGGTCCCAGACGAGATTGCTCTCTTGAAGGTTGTACTTGACTCTCTCGGCACCTTCTTGCAGCGCGTCCAGTAGCAGTTGAGGTTGGAAGAGCTCTCGACCAATCAGCCTCTCCTCTTCAGACCACTCCTCTGGCGGTACTTGCTCCCAAGAGCAGGCGACCAGGTAGCTCACATACTCGCCGTATGCAGCCCAGAGCTTTGCGCTATAAGGTTCCTCTTGTGTTGCCTGCTTGTGCAGCTCGAGCACACCCATGCGCTGCTCCACATCCTTGGCCAAAGTTTTCTCGTCGTTCAGCCGGTAATGCCACAAGAGCTCGCCAAGCGGGTACTTGTCTGACATGGTTTTGTAGGCATCGCGCAGAGTGTGGACCAACTCGTATGCGTTTGGGTCGGAGTCGAGCGATTCGAGGTGCTTTTGGAGTCCTTGGTGTAGAATGGTGACGAGTGAAACATGGCTGTAGTAGTCGAATGGGTTTTCCAGCAGCGTCTTGTCCAGCTGGTTGAGCCAGTCGATGTGCTGCTGGTCGAGAGAGCGGGTGATGAAATTGCGCGGTCGCGGTGAGGCTTCGGACATGATGCTGGCTACAGACTCACCGGAGAGGTTTTGTCCGAGGTGTTGCAGTCTAGCAAGTGGTCAGTTTTTGGTGGTGGAGTTTGCGCGACAAAACTAGGCTGCCGGAACAGGCAACATGAACCCGTGATCACGGGCAAGCGCGACACCCGGACGTCACTGCCTGCCCCACAAAACACAAAGCGCGCTACACGTGGACATGCAGGTGCAGTCGTGGTCTCAGAAACGGGGCGGACGAGGGAAATCAGTAAAGACGAGGGACTTACGTGACAGGCCGTTGGTGGACTACAGAGTTCTGGCGCGCAGCTTGTTGCTGCTGCATGCTGGCAAGGTCTGAAAGATGTTAGCAGATGCCCCGTGAGCTAGCGACTCGTCGTCGTTTGTTGTGGGCTTTTTCTCCCTGCATCTCCAAGCTGCGGTTCCCTTACATGGGGGCTGTCTACAGCACTGTGCCACTACACCAAAGAAAGCGGGCACGTACCTGCAAGTGTGTCCATGCCCGGTGTGGATGTTTGGCGGTACATGGGGTTCGGGGGCGTCATGCGCGCATCGTGCGGCGAGGGTATTTGTTGTGGCGTTCCCATTGCGCTGTGCACTGCTCTTGCGCCGTTCGCGATGTGGGCGTACCCTGGGGACGGTACACGCTGTTGGAGCGTCTGGGACGGCTGCGGGGAGGACCTGATCTGTTGACTTAGGCCCGAAGGTGTTCGCGATGGCATCTGGCGTCTTGTGCGCTTGCCCGGGGACCGGAGTAGTGACGGCGACGGGATGGTAGGGGCCGACTGTGGTGTTGGGGTGCCCGCAGGCGAATCCGAGGGCGATAGCAGCGAGTTGATATCCATGGTGTACGACTTCACGACCTTTTGCTCTTGTTTGGCACGCACTGCGATCCCGCAGCTGTCTTGAATGCTACACGCGCGCCAGGCGTCTTTCGATGCTCTCTCTGTCTACGGTCGCGAGCTACGGAAACTACTAGGCATCGAATCCCTCGTAACGAGCGGCATGGGACGACGGCGGGCGTTTGGCGCGAAAAGGACCGTCGTGGGCGCGAGGCGATGGGGATAGCGAGTGTGATGGGAGATGACCTCGTCGGCGTCGTGGGTGAGAAGGCCTATACCCGGTCTAGAAGAAAAGGTGGTTAGGTGCACCAGGCAAGCTTGGGCCTGCGACTAATCGAGTAATGATGGAGCGAGCACGTCGCGACTCGGAGCAGCTGGATGCGGACTCCCGGAGTGAGTTGGCGGCGGTACAGCACGATGTTTGGCGCGTCACGGAATGCGCGTCAGGCAACGGGGTCAAGAGTCTAGAGTCGACGGTGGTCTGGACAGGAGCGGGACGACACGACTCCTGCACATTTCTTCTGCGAGCTGATCGTAGCGTCTGGTTCATCATGATCTGTCTGCCGAGCCAGACCCCTGCAAGCGCCGCGCCCTGCGCGGAGCCTTTCGCCGTGCCACAGAATTTCCCGCAGCACCTCACAGCATTGGCATCATCAACGCCGCAGCCCCGTGGTGTCGAGCATCGCTATGAGCGCCCGGATACCCTCACGGCGGCTGGGGCAGTCAGGTAAGCTATTATTGGGGGCATTGATCCCCTGCACCATCTTCTCCGCATCCATCCACGCGCTAGTCGCTCTTCCGGGCGGTACAACACCATGACGACTGACATCGAATAGCCCTCGCCGCCCTCCGCCCACACACCCAATGGATACCCTCGACTTCGATCCCTTCAATCGCCCAGCGCAACATCTCGTTCGGAGGCAAGAAAGACAACGATGACCTCAGCAATCCGATCCTCGAAGACTACCTATCGAAGAAGGGAAAACGAACAGGTGCGACAGGAAAAGACGCCTCAGCAGAGCCCGTCCGCCCCACCCCTCGTACAGGAGACTTCGCCGTAACCCCAACTTCCCTCTTCCCACCCGAAAGCGACATGCCCGGCTGGCGGCCAGACCTGAGCCCGCAGGAGAAACTCGAAATCAAGGCGAAATACCGCAAGCGGGAGCAACAAGAGGCGCTCAAGGAGGACAAGAAGCTCATGGATATGTCACTCGATCCCGACCAGAAAGCCCGCAGGCGCCTCGAGCGCAAACTCATCATTTCCGGCGTGAAGCGCCACGGCCGCATGACAAAGGCGCAGAAGATACTCCGTACCGAACGCCAGTCACTCTACAGGTCACAACTCCTCCCTACGTCTACCAAGAAGCTGCAGAAGGTCGTTAACCAAATCGCCGGAAAGACTGTCTCGGAAGCTCTCGTCCAACTCCGCTTTTCCAAGAAACGTGTGGCCCGCGACGTCATCAAGGGCCTCGAAATCGCGCAGAACGAAGCCATTGCGGCCCGCGGTATGGGTCTCGCTGGCGAAGAGGCTGCGGTGTCGCGCTGGAAAAAGCAAAGAGCAGCTACGGATGCGGGGAGACCGAAGGATACTTGGGACTACAAGACGTCGAAAAAGGATGGCAGTCTGGAGGCGAAGCCAGTTAAGGTGCCGTTCTTCAAGGACACGACGATCCAGTTGAAGGATGGGAGTAAGAAGGTGGTCCGCGACCCCAGCGAGATCTACATTGACCAGGCGTGGGTGGGACCCGGGCAGAGCTGGAAGACCCCGGAGTTCAGGGCGCGGGGTGCTATCAACATGCTGAAGCACCGCACGACGAGTGAGTTTGTCGCATACTTGATCTTGGAGAATTGGGCGCTAACATTCCACGACAGGTTTCTCCGTCCTTCTCAAGGAAGAGAAGACGCGTTTACGCATCTCAGACGAGCTCCAGAAGAAGCGCGACAACCGCAAGCTGTGGGTCGCACTTCCCGACCGGCCCGTGACATCACAACGGCAATACTGCCTGTGGTAGACGAATGTACGAATTCAGTGTATAGCATATATAGCCGGTGGAAGAAAACTGGCTTGTACAATATACCATTCAAGATCATACCGTTCCCCATCATCCAAAGCAATGCCAATCGCTTTATCCGGGTATCTCTCTATCACCCATCCAAGGTGCATAACGTACATGGCTGCTGCTGCCTTTTCAACTTTTTGAACATGTGAAAAGATCCTGAACGCCTTCGCTATGCAAACAAAAGATCCCTTTACCATTGTCATGCTTCCGCGCCGTCTACTGCGCCGACGCTGCTGACAAGCATGTCTAGCATGCCGCGTACCTTCCATGCGTCTTGGCTTGCTTCGACGGTCACCTTGACCCGCTGCATGAGCGCCATAATTAAATCGTCGACCTCCTCGCTTCTGCCCAGTTGGTCGGCGTATAGGTCCAGGACTACAAGCGCGACATCGGTGGTCAGACGTGTGATACGGTAATCGGAAACGTTCTTGATGCACCAGCGGAGGATGGGTTGGAGGGTTACGGAGTCGCGGTTGCTGAGAGCAGTTCGGAGAGCTGAGCGGTGGCGTAAAGCAGTTAGGAGGGTAAGGGACTGGCTGCGAGCATTTGCATCCTTATAAAATATTAGCGTTAGTCTCAGGGACATACAGAAAGAATGAAGAGCATACCTTTGATTCGAGCACCATGTCCAGGGCCTGCGCGTACATGCCCTTTCGCAGCGCATGCGCCCACGGCTGTCCGGCCGTGATCTTTCCCCGCGCATTGCCCTCGATCACGATGTCCGCGCTCTCGCCGGTGAAGTCTTTGCCTCGGATGCGCTTTTCCCAGCCCTTGCCACGCTTCCGCTTCTTGCTCCTGTCGTACTCCTCGATCTTGCCTTCCATGAGCGCTTTCATCTCCTTCTCTCGCTCGCGAGCCTGGACCTTCTGCTCGCCGGAAAGATGGGTCTTGATTGAAAGAAGACCGGACTGCATACCCACGGCAATGTGTCTGTCCTCCTTTTGGTTCGGAATGACGCTGAGTGACAGGATGGGCGAAGGGTATTTCATCCCACCTACGACGTTCCAGCCTGTTGTTTCGAAAACCTTGACGTGGCCGTCGAGAGCACCGGAGAGGAGGCGTTCCCCATTGTTCGCTAATGAGAGCGCGGTCACGGTTTTCTGGTGGTTGCGCAGCATGTGGATCGGCTTTGCGGCTACAATGTCGAGCACGCTGATGACGTTGTCGGCTGCTGCGAGGACGGCCGTTCCAGACGGCATAGGAAGGACAGTCTCGACGGGCGCAGCGTGCTTGAACACCATGACCGCCTTTCCGCCTACTCGAGAATCCCAGAGGCGCACCGTCTGATCGTAACTTCCAGATACGAGCAGCCCACTTTGCGCAGGCATGAAGGTACCGCTGCGCACGTAGTCTTGATGCCCGTCGAACTTCATCACGCTCTTCTCGCTCGGCAAGTCCCATAACCGCACAGTTCTGTCGTCGGAACAACTCATCAAACCCGTGAGATCTGTAGGGTTCCACTGTGTGACCCAGACAGGCTGCTTGTGTTCCTTCCATGTCTTTAAGATGGCCCTGCTCTTCACATCGAACGCTTGTATGACACCAGTATCTCCTCCTGCGACCAGAATCCTGCCATCGCGCCGTATGTTTCCCGAATGCGCAACGTCGTCGACGCCGAAACGCGATATCGTCTTGACGACCTTTCGGCTCTTAGAGGAGAAAATCTGGACGCGCGATCCTGTGGTGACTGCGAAGAGATCCTGGGTGGCCGAAAGCGTATTGGCAGGCTGAGGGGGCGGTATCGAGATGTGAGTTACGGGCGAGGAATGTTGCGAAGGGTCGAGTTTGAGCTCCGAGGCGAATGAGTTCCAGTACTTTTGCTCAGATGTAAGGGTGGAAGGGCCCTTTGGCAGCTTCAAGGGCTGCAGGAGTTGTACTTCGGCCGCCATTGTGAAAGTTGGATGCGATCAATGCGCGTGGAGTTGCGAATGTCGTGAGCTTTTCGGGTGGAGGAACTTTTCGGTGGGTCAACAAGTCACGCTAACGACATCGGATGGTGGCGCCTTCCCGGCCTGAACGCGGACAGATGCCGACCGTGGTTAATATCAGCATCAAACTCGTGGGTGAGCAGATTCTGATAATCTGTTTCACGAGGTTTGCTTGTCAAGGTCGTCGCAATGGATTGCTATTCTCATAGGAGAACGCCGGCCTCTTCGTCACACAGCATGAGCTCACTAGTGTTGGTTGCCTAGAGGATCGCCCGGGCGCACCCAGTTCATCAATAGACGACCAACGCCGCAGCACCTTTCACCTCATCAGCGTCAAGCCAGCTCCACGTTCTGTCATGCGACAACCAAACATCAGATGTCACTCTTTTCGATTCGGACCTATTGATCCGCCGATGAAAGATTGCCTTGCTCCAGGATAGACCACTCTCAGCGCGTCCCAAGGTCGCACGAGACGCGTCACGATGGATTCCGACGCGCTTGACAGGATGAACGATTTCTTCGATTTCGCCGCTCTTGAACAGAACATCGAAGTCGAAAACACCCATGCTTCGAGTGAGCAAATCGCGCCATACTTTCACTCAGACAATGTCACGACTATTGACTGGGCTATGAAGCCAGCGGCCCAGGATACCCTTCAATTGTACGACGTGCCCATGTACGATGTGGCACATAATCTCTCCACTGGCGATATGAACCAGCAATGGCCACCGTCTAACTCGACAACATACACTCCAACGTCCATGGTTGAAACGAGTGTAGATTCGAGAGCAGACGTCAATTGGGAAACGGTTGATATGCAACATGCCAAGGACCACAGGATGTGCGATGCGACGGACCTCACTCTCCCGCCTTCATTATCATCACTTGCGCTAATGCAACGCGATGATGAAGGCAGCTTGATTGAGGATCCGCACTCTCAGCTCGGGCTACGTCCTTCAGTCCTCGATCAATCAATGATTCCGGCCGATGCCTCCCTTGAACTAGAAAAGCTACCAGTCAGATCGGTCGCAACCCAGCCACAGCCTTCAATAGCCACTTGGAAACCAGCATCAGCTAAACGTAAAGGTCCTCAGTGCCGTATCCCACTGGAAGCAAGGCAGGTACTGGAGGACGAATTTGCTGCCAATCCATACCCTTGCGCGTGGGAGTTGGACATCATCGCACATCAAGCCAATCTGGACGTGAAGAAAGTCCGCAACTGGTTCAATAATACCCGAGCCAGGAAGAAGTGTGGAGGTGAGTCGTATCCAGTTTCATGAGATCATGCTTTGACTTACCTGTTCAGATTCCCACCCCACTGTGAAGGATGGTTCAGACCAGAGTAATCGCACGCTGAAGACGAAGCTGTCAAGGGATAGTCTGGAAAGCCTCCAAAAGCAAGCAGATGACGCAAATCGACTGCCGCAGCCGCCTCTGGCGGTATATCTTGCACAGTCGTACCAAGAGGAAGCTGTTGAACTGTCTGCAGTACAGGCTGCCGTCGATGTTGAGTCTCTCAACGAAAGCATCCCAAACAGTGGATGGTCTGAGCCCAGGCAAGGTCGCAGAGGTTCCGTCATCACGTCGATTGCTTCTTCTGAAGGCACTACACCCACAACATACACGGTGTCTTCCAGCGGTAGCCGCAGTAAAACCTCGTCTTTTGGTCGTGATCGCCGTCGAGGCCGACGTCGGATGGCTTGGAAAGAGTCTCCTCGCCAAGCTATTAACGGTGTGAACAGTGCAGGTGAACCCCAGAAAGATCTGCCTTTTTTCTGTACTTTCTGTCCGCGGGCTTTCAAGACGAAGTATGAATGGATACGCCACGAAGACTCTGTCCATGCGCTTCGAACCACTTGGATCTGCTGTGACACAAAGTCATCTGAAACTCTTCAAGCATGTCCATTCTGCGGCCAGGCTCATCCCGACGATGCTCACCTGGCTGGCCACAAGTACCAACAATGCCGAAGCAAGCCCGAATCCCAACGGACTTTCTATCGCCGCGATCACTTCATTCAGCACCTCCACCATGTTCACTTCGCCAACACCAAACATCCGTCGGTACGTACCGGCTGTCAAGCTCGATTACTAGCCGCTGAAGGCCACAACTTTGGTTGTAAGGACCTCGCCATGAAGTGGCGTCGCTTCGGTGCTCCAATGAAGCTTGACGATCCGATGCTTCATTGTGGCTTTTGCGGAAAGAAGTCAAAAGACTGGTCCCAACGATGTAAGCATGTTGCTGAGCACCTCGTCGCGCGTGAGCTTGACCGTGCTGTGTGGTGGAGCGAGCGCAAGGAAAACCATTTGGAGAACCTCTACTCAACTACACCATACGAATCCTTCCGATGTCGATACTGCCAAAAGGTCTTTACGGATGTCAAAGATATGAACGAACACTCTCACTGTCGTGTGTGGAGCTGTCGATTTCTCCGGAGCTTCGACGACGTTGCTGCAGACAATGCAGGTCCGCCCCTCTGTCCAGATTTCCCTTCGGCCAAAGCCCACCATTGTCACCTTTGCGGCTCCGGCTATCGAACGTTCCACGTCGAACATGCGCAGAATTACCATCGGTATCGCTCGTGCAATCAAGAGTTTTACACATCTGAAGACGCTTTCCTCCAGCATTTGCACAACTTTCATGGCGCTTCACAGCCAACATTATTGCGAGGCTCTGGTGTCATCGAGCAGAGCTATATGCGCAACAAAGGCGCATCGTTCGAGCCCGTGGAGTTCAATGAGAGCTGGCAGCCTTGCGTTATGGATCTAGACGTAGCCTCGGTCAGTCCATTTGTTGCCGACAACACTGTTTCAACTCTACCTGTCGACCACAGAAAGAATCAAAACCAGACCCGGAAGCCGCTCGTCATTTCGAAGAAAGCTCGTGACATTGTGCACACCCCGGACGCCAATGTCAAGAAGGTATCAAGACAACGATCTGACACATCAGCCTCGAAGGCCGAGAGTCACCACCCGCGATTCTTCCGACTCAGTACTTACGTACCCTTTCTGTCATCTCGTATCTTC